TGTATCCGACTTGTTTGATCGACCAAATGTGGAAGAATGTGGCAGATATCCACCAATAGGACCGGGTGAACAAGATATTGTTGCTGAGATGAGTTCTACTTCTGGCGTTCTGTATTCATAGCATCCCAGTCTGTTTGGCAACTCGGTGGCCACCGGATTCCGGCAGCAGTGGAGAATGGACATGAATGGACCATTTTTTTGCAAACAGGATGCATGAGGGTTTGACTGCGGTGCACTTGCCCAATAATCCCTTAATATGTGTTGTTTACCATAATAATATGAACATATTTTGATCCAACGATCTTCAGAACGTTGTTGGACCCTCCAAACCTTTTTGTCCGGTACAAATGCGAGCCACTGGCAGTCAACTTGAGCCACTGGTGGCCTTCCTGGAGCCTCAAGAGGAGCCTCTTAGGTCAAACCATAACCAGGTGAGATCCCGACTGCTGTGGCTTTGGAGTCTTTACCAAGTGACATGATGATTCTCATGTTCTGAATTCTGCGAATCTCTGGGTGAAACCGTTGAAACCAAGTTCACCAAGATTTCTAAGAACTATAGGAACTTATAAGGCGGTCTTTTGCTCATGAAACCGCTCCGCTCAGGGCCGTCAGACTGCCATCGCCATGTGTTTGAACATCGACACTCCATGATCTTTCCCACTCCATGCCACCTGGATGTGGCTCAAAAATGGCACCTTCAATGTTGACCCTCAAGGCCTCATGTTGCCAGGTGTTAACTCATGTTGCCGATGAAGAAGCCGACCAGTTGTAAGCCATTGTAAGCCTTTCAGGCCCTATTTTGGTGTTATTTTGTTAGCTATCCAGATGGTTGAGTTCTTTTTTGGTTAACAGATCTTAACTGGTTATGTTTGCCAGGAGACTCAGGTGTAAGTCAAGTAATGCTGAGTGACAAAAACAAGGAACATAACTATACTGTACTACATGTGAAGTCCATCGGCCTGACAGTTTGCAGACGCCATGGCAATGGAACTGTGGTGCAGGCAACTGAATGGCGAAACATTTGCTCTTGAAGTCACACCTGAAATGACAGCCGGCGAACTCAAGCAGCGGATCATAGAGCGACGATGGCACGATGCGCTAACCCGCAAAACAACTCTGGTGCAGGTTGTTGTTGCAGATGGTAAGCTGCTGAGAAATGATGCAACGCTTGCGGATGTGGTCCTTCCAGATTCATATGTGACCATAGTCTTCAAGGACAATGCAGTGGCAGTGACATGCTCCAACAGAAGGGAGCTCATCAGTCTCTTACCCGACGTCAATCAATTCAAACCATTGGGAGACAGCCCTGTGGTCAAGTTGACCATCCCAGAGTACATGACCAGCATTCTGCACCTTGCCTTTCAAAATTGCCCGTCTTTGGCAAGCATGACCATCCCCAACTCAGTGATCCACATCAATAAGCGTGCCTTTCAAAACTGCGTCTCTTTGGCAAGTGTGACCGTCCCCAACTCAGTGACCCATGTTGGTGATGCTGCTTTCGAGGGCTGCAGCTCCTTAGAATGTTTGTCCATCTCCTCCTCAGTGAATGTCATTCCGAACTGTGCTTTTCGGAACTGCAGCTCTTTGGCAAGTGTGACCATCCCCAACTCAGTGACCCGTATTGGTGATGCTGCTTCGAGGACTGCAGCTTCTTAGAATGTTTGACCATCTCCTCCTCAGTGAATCTCATTCCGAACTGTGCTTTTCGGAACTGCAGCTCTTTGGCAAGTGTGACCATCCCCAACTCAGTGACCCATATTGGTGATGCTGCTTTCGAGGGCTGCAGCTCCTTGGAATGTTTGACCATCCCCTCCTCAGTCACTGCCATTGGGGCTGACGCTTTTCGGGACTGCTGTTCTCTTTGGCATGTTGAAGTACCTACCTCAGTGGCCCACATCGGGGACCGTGCATTTAAAGACTGCATGTCTTTGCCTGCTTTACCATCCCCGAGATAGTCTGTACCTGACAGATTGCTCTTCAAAGTGTGAGCCGACTCAACGACCGAGACGACCTGTATTTCTGAGACGGCTAGCTGTGTTTGCATCATAGTGGTGGTGCGGGTCGATAGTACCAATCGCATGTGTTGTCCTTTTTCGTGTTGAATCTCATGAATTACAGCTCGTTTGCTTCATAGTTGTGTGTGTTTGTGTGTCAACGACGAACCTTAGCTAAGATAAGATATGACATGATAGGATAGGCGACAGGCGATAGGCCTTCCATAAACGTTTCAGATTTCAAACCATTTGTTGATCGACCTGCTTTGAAACAAATAAGTAGATCTTCTCAACAACTGGAGTTCCATGACTCCCTGGCCACTCTGGTGGCAGAGGAATTTCCTGGATTCGAAAAGCGCCCAGTGGATTCTTGTGGATCCACATGATTACTCTTAAAGCTTCCAGAACAAGGAATCCTCTCAGGACAAGTGGAGCCGTTAGAGCAGCAATTGGTTTAAATCAAAACACTTGGATCCACTGGGAGGCCGTGAGTGTCGGAGGATTCCGACCGAGTTCCAGCACATCGCATGGACAGGGTGAACTGGATCTTCTTGCGTTGACTCACCGCGGGTGGACGCGGAGGAAAAGCGGAGGATCAACGGTGTGTCATGGTTCCATGTGAGCAACTAGACAAAGTATGTCATGTTTCGCTGATGTTCTGTTCATTCCATTTCATTTGGGATTGCGCAACGGGTTCCGGAGTTGGGGTGTCCAAATGACATCAAAGTGACACTACTCAGAGAAAGTAATGTTGCCTCTAAAACAAGCGAAAAGGCCTGGTTAAACCAGGATGGTTGGGTGTGCACATCGCATACAGAATCTTGGCTTTAAAGCTTGCCCTCAAAGTCTTTGCTGCAGGCTGGCCAATCCTGATAGCCAGATTCTTGTGTCATGAAAGCAAGTTCATTGCATTGGTTCTTTGTCTATGGTCAAACCAAGGTGGCAAAGGCATCGAGCGGCTCAGTGAAGTTCTACCCAAGAAGACCAGCTGTCAGGCAGCTTGTTCACCCTGCCAGAATCAGAATGCCTAAGATCTCATAGAAGTGGCTCAAAGATTCTCACAAAATCGCTCAAGAATGCTATGTAGCTGGTAGACGATGCTTTTCTTGATTCCCGGCACTAGACCCTAACATCATGAGGCGGTAGACGCACGCACCACCACCACCACCACCATCGGACCTGACGGCCGGACTTGGCAGGCCGACCGGGCGCTGGACTCTGGCGCTTTGCTGGCCCTCGCGCACGGAACGGTGGCTCTTCTGGATGTGTTTATGTTCTTCTTTTTTCCGGTGTTACCATTGAAACGTCAAGACAAGGGAGGCTCAGTGCGAGGACCAAATGTTCTCACACCAAGGCATCGAGGCAGCATTGGTGCAAACAGCAGAATGACCAAAGAGTTAAAGCCTTTTGGTTCCCGGCTATTTGCCAGACCATTTGCCAGACCGCGCAACCCGTCACGAACCTGGACGATTAAATGACAAGACATCCCAAAATATGCAAACACGTCAGATTTACGAGATGTGCCACAGCTGACAGACTACGTAAGGAAAACATTCGCACCTCTACTATTCTTACTATGTTATTCATGGCAAGCAGGGCCGGGAGGGGTATCAGTGGTTCATTGTGTATCAGAGTCCTTTTTTGATCACTTAACATGCCGCCTCCCAACAGCAAATCTGCAATCCAATGATGTTTTCAACTTGGTTATGGTTGCCCCCCCAAAAATGACGTTTGTGTATGTTTTGATTCGAATTGATTGGATATATGTTTTGGTATGACTAAAGATAGAAATCCAATTTCCGACTACGTCATAGACTCAAAGTCTTTCTCGAACATTCCTGCAGGTTGTCATCCCTTGTTCTCCACCACCAGAACATTTTAAACATAGAGACTACCTACAAAGGGTTAGGGACTCAGTTCTGCAATCCCAGTTAGGCAATTCCAGTTTCTCAGGATCTCACTCTTGGAACTCGGTCGGGATCCTGAATTCGACCACTCTGAGGTTGTCAGTCCTATCGCTGAGGAGTGCCACGGCCAGCGCGTGATGTTGAAGAAAAGCACGGTGTCCGGCGACGAGATCGGACGTGGAACTGTGAGTCCTTTTTGGGGGGCAATCAATTCCTGTCTATAGTGGTTGTTCAGCGATTCTTGGTTTATCGTGTGTATATGTTATGTGTGTCATTGTTTTCTTGGTTGTGTGGGGTATAGTGGGGTTGATACGAGTTTTCACCGAGCATTTGATGTATTCGCGCTTGGTTAGTTTCTATCCTGCAGCTAGTCATTGTTGTTGCAGGTGTTGGTTCTGACGGTTTCTGGGTTGGCTCCATGGAGGTTGATTGAGGTTGATCAACTCCCAAATTCTCCTGTCAGTCCACATAGGGATGCATGTTAGATCGAAAGTCAGCCTCAACTGCTCAAGTGGGGTTTGTCCATCGTGGACAGGTTGTGTTGATCACTAAAGGTACAAGTGCTGCATTACCAGTGGTCTAGCCAGATTCTTTGAAAGCTTGCTTAGATGATCATTGAACAATTTGTTCCTTTCATCAGGATGTGTACGGGGTACTTCACTTTTGGTGGATCATTTGCCAGGTTGCACGTGCATTTGTTTGAGCGGTACCCAACTGGTTGTGTGATGAATTGGCTCCCAGCCCAGATGCACAGCCAAGAGGAACGAGATCAGGCACCAAGAGCAGCTCCACCGAAGCGATGCACATCCACGGCATGGCATCCATTGGATACATTGTGATTTCCCCAAGCTTTGGAGGAAACAAGTACTGTAAATAAATCCCATTGGTTTGGACCGGAGGCAAAGGAGCAACTGGATGACTTCCAAGGAAACCAAAGACAACATGTAAATATTGCAAGTAATAATGCAATATCTCAATGCTCACTGGCATATTGAGACTTTGTTGGTTTCTTGGTGGCCCTATGTTTGTTGCCTTTGTGGGTCCTTTGCTTTGGTAGACCTCCACCTGGGTTGCCGGCATATCCTCTAGTGCGCGCGGCATGGTGGCGAGTAGCGGCGAAGATGCTGGGATGACCATGGAACAGATGATTGCCATGAAGGCTGACGTTGGCACTGACTGTCGTGACTCTTGTTGTTGTGGTGAAGGGATGTGCCACTCAGTGAAGACCTTAGACCTGGTTCTTCCCGCGTTTGGTGTTCCAGTCTCGGTCACTAGCTCCAATTGAATGAACAACTCGTTCTCTTGCATTGATTTGGGACGCCACAGCTCTGAAACCGGTTGAAGCGGGGCGGAACCCGGCGGGATCGAATGGGACAAGGGGTGGGTGCCAGGAAGGTTTAACCACCGAACCTGAGGATATGGGACAGGGAGCTTTAGGGTACGAACTGCAAGACTGGTCTGGCTTCTCACCCATTTTCAGTAGGGTCCTTCCATTTCCAGATCTTCCAAGAGAGTCCACGGTGTGTCCTGATGATGTCGGACATTCAGGGTCGACCCTTTGTTGTGTGTGTCATGAACTTTTTGGGGCATGACAATGGCAGCCAAATCAGGTCCGTTGAATCAGAGTCAACGGAAAAAGAAGAGAGGTAACACCATTTATGGAGTTGGGATTAGAACGTACTGATAACAAGAAGCTGAGGTGTCACCCTTCAGGGGTCTCCATATCAACCCATCTATAGGTACCCATCATTTGCGAGGTACCACAGATCCCCGGTTCCCCGGTTTCTTTTAAGCCTCCGGTCTGAAAGACCGTCGGTGAGTCGGTGGTGTGATGTTGTTTGCGCAGCATCCGGTGACCCTCCACACAATGTTTTAAGTGTCTAATGGGATTTGGATGTTCTGAATTTTTTGATTGTTTGATTTTGTCTGACTTTTTGGATATGATGGGATTTGGTCCAATAGGATTTGGTTTGTGAATCCCATGGTCGATGTGCCTGGAACTGTAAAACTGGACCAGAGCAGAGCGGCCAGAGCTTTATCATCCGGCGAGTCGGATTTTTACCTTTTTTCGCCAGGAGGGCCTTGAAGCGCAGATCAAGGCCATGAGCAAGCCTGCGAAAGTGCGGCTCACCTTCAAGTGGTCAATTTTTGCGAATTTGGGTAGTTGTGTTCAGCAACTTATCAAACTTAAGGTGCCAGTTATCTCCCTGTGGTTGCAGGAATCTTCCTTCCAATAAGTTAAGTGTACCTGTGAATGGCCAAAGTTTCTGCAAACATGCTGTGGATTCTGTGGATGTTCGATTCCTGCTGTACTTGGGCCCTTCACGTTTTGTGATAAAAACCAAGGAATGCCGGCAAGTTCAGCAGCAGAACGATGGCCAGAAGTGGCATCGAGGAGGAGTTTGGGTGACCAGGTCTTGGATGTCAGTGTTTGCAGAAATTCTTGACTGTGATAGGTGGCAGAAAGAGAACAATCACTGCAAAATCGCAGCATGTATATCGGACAGGTGCTAAATTTGGATGAGGAATTCCCGAGTCAACATGATTGAAGTACTGTAACAATGGGACCCAAATATATACCAACCAAGAAGGTTCATGACACGCGGGCGCACTAAAGCCCTGGGACTTGGAGTTCAATCGTGTTTGTTGGCAAGTGCCAACGTGTTTTGCTGTTGGTCTACCTCAGGCGTTCACAAAGCCATGGGGTTTGGGCCTGCAACGAACAAATCATAGTTCTTCAATTTGGCTTCAGTCATGCTTCATACATGCCTTTCAGCCTTGCGCCACAATGCAAAGGTTTTGATGATAAATGAACCTTTGTACACAATTTATAATTGGTTTGTTCTTCCGTACTGCAGTGCAGGCACATTGGGAACATTTGGAGAAAAAAACAACACCTCAGGCCAACGGACCAGAAGAAACGATTCAGGTGTCTTTGTTCATCACACCGTGACTGTTAGTCGGGGGACTTGATTATATATATATATATAGCCACCCCGTTGTCACAACTTGTGGGTCCTTAGAGTGGTTTGTTACTTTACTCCACCCTTTTCACCCACCACCGTTTTCATGAATGTAGTGAGTGTGTCCCGTGATCTGCAGTCGAGAAAAGATGATAGGGCATGATCACGATCTTTTTTATCCTCACCATCATCACCCACTGTTACTGGGCATGAGATATACCCAATGAATGTGTCATGTTGACCGGACAGCAGCGACAACTTCTTCGGGGCCCTCCAGGAAGAGCCTCCGCCGCGACGGCTCAATGTGGGGCAGATGTGCCCAGTCTGCAGTATATTGCCGTGGAGATCTTGGGGAGCCCCTGTGTTGATGCCAGTTTCGCGAAAAGCGACACGAACATATTTTGAACATCACGCGCTTTTTTCAACACCCACAGGAAAGTCAGGCTTTGCTGGCAAAAAGGCTTGTCGAAAGGCGTGCTCGAGTTCTGAAAAGCTCCGATGAAAAGACTTGTTTTCGGGAAAATGGCAGAGGAAGTCCAATAACCGACCCTGAGCAGTTGCTACATGTTGCTACGGAGCGAAGCGTTGACCTGTTCGCCATGTCAGATGAACCATGATGAACCTAATGCACCGTTAAGTTAAGGATGTTAAGGGAACCAGATTGGCTGAATCCCAAGGTCAAAGGGGTGTCTTCACCTTGTTGGCATTCGAATGATGGTACATGATGGTACCTTATAGTTCCACTTGTTTCTTGGCAACTTTCCCAGCAGCGCTAGTCGAGGTAATCATATAATTATATATATATATTTATTTACTTAATCATATATACCTGTTAAACCATTTCCCTGGGAATTGTTGGAGCAAATCTGCATTTGTATGAATTCATAGTATACCACAACAATTGTTAGGGTACCGGAAGAATAAGCGTTCGAAGGCGACAAAAGCCGTACGTACCCGAAATCTTGTGTAGAAACCATTGGAACCAGGGCACAGTAGAGGCCTCAAAGAGCATATGAGGTTTCACACATGGTTCTGATCACATTTGTGCCCCGGAGACTTATGCATGCTCTTTGTCAGGAAGAGGGCGCAATGATGCGCAACGCATGCATCATCACACGATGAATCATGAACCATGCCGTAGTGGTTTGGACATCGTGCATCTACAGGTGCATCTCTTTTGGTCATGATTTTTTGGTCTGGAAGTGAATGTTCAACACTCCCATTTCGGCAATGGACATGGGCCTGCTGGTCTTTTTTTGGAGGCTGGGCGCGAGCTAACCGGGTGAAACAACAAGAAATATCAGCTTGAGCTTTAGCTCACGTGTGTTGATGCCAGCTGCCAGAATCATCAAAAAACTTAAGATGAGAGTGGTTGGTGACAGATTGCTCGATTTTCCTTGAATAGCAGCAGCTGCCTTGCCACTCACTGTGCTTCCTCCTGAAAAGCTCGTCTTGGCTTCGAGGGGGCTGATTTGTAGGACCAGGGACTTCAAATTCAGTCAAGCCATGGCAAGCCCCATGGATGAGATCACGAAGGACAAGAAGGGTGTGTCCCTCGTGGGTGGCTCCATAGATGGTCTTTCTTTAACATGGGACAACATTGCAGCTGTGCGACAACGCATGAGAGATGGTTATAACTTGCTTATCCATTTCGATCCACGACTGAAGCAGGTCTCCAACCATGCAGTCGAGAGGTCCATCAGAGATGTGAAAGTGAACTCGGAGACACTGAAGCCAGTGTGTGCCCTAGTCCGTATTCACCATCGTCTGCCTGGAGTTGACCAATTGCAGTACCAAGTGAAGCTGCTGTACTCCATGAACAATCGTCCAATTTCCCTTGACCTTGCCCACTCACAAGCCTGGGCCATTCGCCATTTGTTGGGGGTTTTGAAGTCTGCAGTCCGACACAACAAAAAGACGGGTGAGAAGAAGTTCCCCAAGGACCAGCCGTTGGTGTCAATATCTTAAGGGTTGATACTCATGATCGACGGCCCAGGTTGTAAGATCTTTGCCTCTGCTCCCATCCCTTCCCTGCTTCCAGGACCCAGCCTTGCAGGCTTTGCTGGTGGATATGGGGGTGCTCGTCACAAAGGAGCCTTGGATGTCCATACACCATGCAAGGAACAAGAACCCAAACATGTGCGAGAAAACTGCAATGTTCTGAAAACCAGGGTTGGTGGTACCACTCATCCACATCGACTTGAAAGCATTTGAAAGCATACCAAAGGAGAGACGTTTGCACCAAACTACCGGTACTGCTATAGAATGCCCTTCCAAGCCAATGTTCACAGGAGGATGGATCAGTGGAGGTCGCCGAGAACCACGGGCTGGACGAGAGTGAAGTTCCGCCGTTGAAGTCGGAGGAGCCATGGGGTATACTGTTCAATTCTACATTATGCGTGTAGGGTTGCACAAGGGGTATGTTTCAAAGGCAGTCTATTGCTTTGAAGTCTTCTGGGTTGGGTAAAGTCATAGATTAACAACTGGCCACCTCAGGAGCAGCAACAAGCATTGGAGCTTGGCACTGCTGGTGACACTGGGGAGACTCTACTTGAGACACTCCAGGAGCAATGGTTATAGCCATTGGCGTGTATGCAAACCTTCGAAACAATGGAATTCCCATAGCTCAACCTGATTCCTTGTGAATAGCCTTGGACTTGCGATTTCCTGAAGGACACCCAACCGCTCTTCGAACACCAGCCCGAGCTTTTTGAGACTCAATCATTGGATATTCCTGCGCAGGACCGATTCTCACACATGACATCATTAGTATACTTTAAAAAAGTCACATTAGATGCCAAAACCAAACCACAAGTTTATAGCCCTGCCATGCCCTGCCCTTTTCAAAAGATCCAGGATTCGAAGCCCAATAGTGGTGGCAACAGCAGCAGCGGTAATGCAGCCCCAGATCTCGAGGCAATGATTCCTGACCAGGGCTTGGGTCGATTGCATGCGAACTAACAAAAATGAGCTGGGTGTTTGGTGGTTTGGGTGTTGGACAGGCGCTCGTTAGCCTCCAAGCTTCATGTGGCTTTGAAACGTTTTTGCTGGGTCTCTGTTTTGTTCGCCTGCAGTTGTGTGGCAGGTGGTTGGCATTGAAGCGGTGGAAGTCGTTTCCTCTCAAGAGGAGGGGACAAACCAGGAGCTGGTCGAGGAGCTTTCATCTTTGCTTGGGAAGATCCAGCTGTCACTCGACCACAACGTTTCAAATAGAATGCCTGCAGCATGACATCCTACTTTCTCTGTTTCTCTCATTGGGGTTCTGACAAGTGGATGATTTTTTCAACTTAACATGTTTCTATATGTGTTTCTTGTGCCTTCTCAGGACTGAAGAGCATGTGAAGTCGTGCCCATCCTTGGTGCGATTGCTTCGAATTCCATCTGATGCCAACGGACGCTGGGCTAATATGGACATCGCAAGGGGGCCTGTTCCACATATTTTACTATGAATCATTGGACCTTTGAAGATGCAACCTCCCACTATAAAAAATAAGGACCGGTGCCGATCTTCATCCCTGACTCCCTTCCTCTAAGTGGCGACAACGATTCCACGCTAGTTCAGCCAAACCCTGAAGATTGGCTTACCTCTCCTTTCATGCTCGGAATGTTGGAGAGAGAAGGACTGGCCTCTGCATCCGCTGCAGCATCGCTGGTGGAAGCTTCGGAGCCACCTGCTGAGCTTGTACAGGACTCTTCCGTACCGATTCACGCGCAAGTATGTTGTGTGTTGTTGGCCCCAACAGGGGTCCAAAGACAGTAAGTGATTGACCTATATTTTCTATCCTATGGATGTTTGTTGGTTTACGCTGTAGCGATTTGAGCCTAGAGTAGATGGCCTCTGGCAAGTCGATAGACCATAAAAGGTTTTCACAAGTTTTTCAATGATTTTCCTGAAAGCAAAACAGGAGCTGCCAGAACCACTCCCAGAGGTTAAGCCAACCGGTGCACGTGTCGCTGATGCTACCTTTGTGGAAGATCCACCCGTCTTTCCTGAGATCGGTGATGAAGAATTGAGCCGGCGTGACCAACTTGGAATGAAGAAGGACAAGAAGAATGAAGGCAAGCGTGGCAGGCCACCAGCCAACAAGAAGAGTGGGGAGGAGGCAATGAAGGAAAAGCAGCCACGCCACACTGCGGCCAAAACGAAAGCCAAGAAGAATGCGCAGGAAAGTGATGAAAAAGATGGCGACGATGCTAAGGGGGACACGAAGCCACGTCTCCGCCGAACCAAGAGGCACCTTGAGGATGACGATGATCAACCTGAGGTTGAGGAGCGTGAACACACTACCCCTCCAAAGAGGCGCCGGCGACTTCGACCTCTTGCTGACTGCGCGCCTACCCCGACGGCCGGGAGTGCCCCTAAGGCCAAAGCAAAGGCCAAGGCGAAGGGGAAAGCAAAGGCTGCTGCAAGTGCCCCTAAGGCCAAGGCAAAGGGGAAAGCAAAGGCGTCTAAGTCGAGAGCCAAAATGTCGAAGGAGGAGAAAGATGTTGCCACCGAATCTGCTGCACATGAGGAAGAGCAGCAGAATGGTAAGGGCAAGGGGAAGGGAAAGGCCGCTACAGTGAGGGACACTGGCAGAGTGGATCCCCCTGCCGGTGAGACTCCTGAGAATGCTAACCTTCGTGAAGAGGTGACCCAAGAGGTCTTCAATGCTTTGATGCTTTGTTGGAAGGCAGGAGAGTGTGAGAAGAAAGGCAAGCATGCTCATGCCATGCCTGTGATTGATGGCAAGGTGGCAAATCTCTCCAGTGATGTCTACTGGACCCGCAATGCAGTGGGTGTGAAAAAGAAGATGGAAAACAAGAAGGGCGGCAGCCACATCTGCTACTTTTCTAGGCATACAGCATGCAATGCGAGCAACATCATCCTTGCCAAGCGCTGGGTTTCTTGGCATCGTTGCAAAATGTCAATTTTGCACGCTAAAGCGATTGCTAAATTCTGTTTGCATGAGCCCCGAAAACAAGCCTCTGCACTTGACACCCCAGGTTCAGCAATACCTGAGCATGCCTGAGCCTCGCGATCATGAGAGCGAAGATCTTTTCAGATTGAAGCTCTTGTTGGGGACCGCTCATGATGCCGCACTAGCGGCCTTTGAGCTGGAAAGACAGCCAGAGCCATAATTTTGGGAGCCTCAATGGCAATGTTGCAGGGACCTCAATGTCAGCATATATTGTGGGAAGAAGTGGTTCAGCTGTCTTGGTAGGGGTTTGCTTTTGAGCACTGCGTGAATCCTCGCAATGCCATTTTGTGATAATTTGCCATTTGGTCACCAGTGAAACTCCTGGTGGGGGACTCGCTCTTAGTGTTTCGCAGG